TCTATAGACAGCACACTACAGTTACCCGGTAAAGTTGAAGGTTAGACTGGAATTGAACACCCAGAGAAGCAGAAATTGTTTCATCTGCTTTGTTTTTGAAAATGGAAGCAAATCATATTACTGACAGATTATTTTGATAAGTTCATCTACTGTTATGTTCGTAAATAATGGAGAAATATCAAGCGATGCAATCACTTTGTCCCATACACCTAACTAATCCACTTCTTGAGTGATGTGGAACACATCTCTCAGGTTCTAATGAACTATTATTATTTATTGTATCCTTTAGTTCCTAGAGGAACATAGGGCTTCAGCTGCGCACCTCCATTGCCTTCTGTTTTCTGACAACTTTTTCACCCCGCTCCAGGTCTATCCACATGCCTTCATCTCCTCTTCGCATGACCTCCTCCAAGTCACCCTTGAACGACCAACTCGCCGCCTCCCTTTCGGGTTCCACTCGAGGGCTTGTCTAGGCAACTAGGCAACAACTAAAGCGGACCTATGCTCAACTGGACCGTTCCTCATAGTGTACTGGGCATCAACCATATCGTCTTACCAGTGATTAGACCAGCTACTGTCTGATTTAATTGCTAATGTAATGTAATGTAGACAACTGCCATTTGCATCAATGTATGCTTTACCAGCCATCATTCGAATGGTCACAACGTAAGATATTTGTGCGTCCCGGTCGACAACTACTACCTTGTCGTGGTAGTCGGGCTTGAATACCGCAGCGACCCAACAAACCAAACTGGCTGGAACTCATGTTCCCACAGGTCCTACCATGTCAGGAAGGTTGTTTGGATAGCGGTTTGACTAAAAGCAGTTACCATGAGGTACATGGGCTCCAGAATCCAATCGAATGAAACGGCGTATGAACCTGTATTGGTCACCGGCAACCATGGGAATGTAGCTCCTGATGCTGCTCCGCTACCTTGCCGAGGGGACTCCAAGTCAAAGGCTCGAGGAGTAGTCCCTTAAGACAGCCACCTGCTTCGGTCTGAGCAGCCTGGCAGTATCTCACCCCTCACACAATCAGTGAAGTGAAGCAACAAACTATCAGTGAAACTTATCGCGTGCTCTTAACAATGCTGCCAAACAATAATTATGCTTCAAGTGACACATCTCTTTCCAACTCTAATTTTATTTTTATACATTTATACATTTTATTTTATACATTCCTGTATTTTACTTTTGCTAACCTTGACGTCTTCACTTTCGTCAGCCTCCCGCCTTTGTCTGGATTCTCGGCCTATCTGTGCCGTTTCGAGATGTTAGTGAGTAGCATTCAGAATGGTTGTCTCTTAACACCTAACACAGATATCCTGAAACCGCGTGCCGCGTTCAAGCTGGCCACCTACAATGTTCGGACACTGATGCAAATCGGACAACAGGCAAGTTTGGTAAGAACAATGGAAAGCCTCGCTATCGATGTCTGCTGCATTTCGGAGACCCGCATTCAAGATCCCAGCGAAGTGCTTCGAATATCCTCTCTATCTGGAAGTTCTAGTAGTATGTACCACCTGCGCCTGTCTGGGGACCCTGTGGCGTCGGCATCCGGTGTAGCTAGTGTCGGTGTCGCACTGAGCGCTAGAGCCGAAACTGCATTGCTCGACTGGATTCCCATCAACAGTCGTTTATGTGCTGTGAGGCTGGAAGGTTGTACGAAAGTAAGGAGTAGCAGGCCAGATAGGCGGTGTCTATTTGTTGTCTCTACCTATGCATCGGCGGATTGCAGCCCGGATGCAATTAAGGATGGGTTCTACTACCAACTGAGCGATCTCTTGAAACAGGCGCATCGGAGCGATATCGTGTGCTGGTTGGGGACTTGAATGCACAGGTTTGGCGTCTAAGCCCAGAAGAAAATCATCTAGGTGGTCAGTGGTGCTTACATGGTCAAAGGTTAGGTAATGGAGACTGTCTTCTGCAGCTTTGTGCAGATCACAACCTATTTCTAGCCAGCACCAACTTCCTGCACAGCCATCGCTGTAGTGCTACCTAGCGTTCTCCCTCTGTGAATCAAGCTTAGACTCAGATTGATCATGTTGCTGTCAGTCTCCGGTTTCGAGGATGCATACAAGAGTGCCACTCCTTCTGGAACACATACCTAGACTCCGATCGTGCGTTAGTTAGTGCCAGGTTCGTCTTGCGATTTGGTGGGGTTCATAAACGGCTTCATCTAAACGTTGATGTGAGCAAATTAGTAGCACCTGCTACTTATTTGAAATGCCAGAATGAGTTACAATCAATACTTTCTAGCAACCCCTCAAGTAATATAGATGAACATCGGTTTCATCTGCAAGGTGCCGTGCAAATGGCAAGTGTAGCCATTTGCGGCTTGAAGAATGCTCCGCTAAAAGCCAATGCGTTTCTGTGAGTTCCTGGCAACTCCTGGATGAATGCCAGTCCATTCCCGCTGGTAGCGAATACAAAAATAAAGGAAAGACGCTTACGAGCGAGATTAGACAGTATTTACGTAAGGACCGCGAAACCTGGTGGTCAGAATGTGTGTGTGTGATGGAGTCAGCTGCTGCATCTGGCGACAGTCGGAAGCTGTTCCAAATCATCCGAGCCACCGGCAGCAAGAAACGAGGTGTCAGCGGGACGTTCTGTGAAGCAGATGGTACGTCAATTACCCTTCGCCAGTTGTTGGAACACCACCACACGTATTGCAGGCCAACAATCGTCGTGTTTCTTGATATTATGGCTCCCTTCGATTCGTTGGACAGAACTGTGCTCTTGAAATGTCTCTTAGAGAGGGGTGTACTTGGGAAGTTTGTGAACATTCTGAAAGCTTTATACACAAACACTTAAGGTACAGTAAGGGCATACAACCAACTATCATCACTGTTCCCAACCAACAGTGGAGTTAGACAGGGTTGCCCAATCTCTCCATTTCTATTTAACTTTGCCATCAATGACATTCTGGAGTCAGCCCTGAAGGATGTGCGTGAAGGCGGTGTAGATCTGCTCCCTGGAGGGAGACTTCTTGACCTCGACTATACAGACGATATCGTCTTAGTGTGAGAGCATACATGCTGTCCAAATCGCACTTTAATCAGTTGGCGACCGGTGTCTGTAACTATGGTATGTGCTTTGCGCCGTCTAAGTGCAAAGTACTGTTACAAGATTGGCAGGAGCCTGTACCTGCACTCACTCTTGCAGATGAACCGCTTGAAGTTGTTGATTAGTTCGTGTATCTGGGTAGTTGTGTGAGTGCTGGTAGAGGGGTAACGGATGAGATTTCCAACCGTATCATGAAGGCTGGGTGGCATACATTAACTTGAGCCACTTCTGGTGCCGTCGCGACGTTTGTTTGACTGTCAAAGGTCGGGCATACAATGCTTCAGTGCGGGCTGTCTTTGTCTACGCCTGTGAAACCTAGCCTCTCCGAGCTGAGGATGTGCAGCAACATAATACAAAACAGAAAATAAGTGTTTGTCAAGTAACACAATATTCAGTTAGATATGGAATAATACCACAACTGCAAACAGCAATAAGGAAAGAGAGAACAACAGAAAATGTATATAACCAAAAGCTGATGGAAAAAACACGACAAAAAAGACAACGCACATGGAACAACGCAGCTTATGTCCAAATTTAATGGTTTGAAAAAACTTGGGTATTTGGTATAGGGTGCTCATTACTACCAGAATCTGTATTTCTCAGCGAATGAAAAAAAGCAAAACCACATACACTAGGGTTTTGTAAGTTCTGATTTACTACTACTTTAACAAAGCTATCAGGATTAAACAGCGAAACATTAATTTGTACTTCATCCATCAGGAAATTCAACTTCATAATAACAGTAGTGAGTACAAAACTATATCATAATTAGAATGAGAGCAAGACAAACATTCAAGGGTCAATTTCTGTTATGTTGATCACAGCTAAGGAGCCACAAAATTTACTGAATGACTTAACTCAATAGTTACCAACTTTGTGATATGATCACTTTTCTCTCAACTACTACTAGTTCACATAAAATTGCGAGTTGGAGTAAGTTTTCGGCATGTATGCATAGCTCGTGCCCTAACTACCTTCGGTGATGAGAGTTCACAATCACATTTACTAACTTATTGCTTTTACTTAAAACTGTCTGACCTCTAAGTTGTTCATGTCACATTACAGGTAAATGACGTCATCAGGACAACAACTGCTAAATTCCCCAGACCCCAGCAAGTGATCTTCAGCAACTATGTGCATCTCTACAAGAATCTCTGTTTTGTAAAGACTGATGAAACTATTGGCTAACTAAGCTAGATTATTGAGAACCAGATACTCAGTACAAGTTTATGCACTAGAATATGACATCTTATATGAGGGTTTATGATACTACTCAATTTCCCAAGCCAATGCAAAATTTGGACGGGGCATTCATCGATTGAAAATCGAATGTTCTAGCTGACAACACATATGTACTGGTTGATCGAACCTTGGAACATTGATCAGGATTCGAAATTCTACTTGAAAGTTGCTTGCTGATATCTTTAGTTCATTTAAGACGTGCAATAAATAAATATTGACAAATGAATACAAACTTGTCAATATACTTGCGTGAATATGAGCGCTATCATCATACAACTTGGTTTCTCTCAATGTGCACATTTATTTTAACAAAATGAGCTGCTCGACTGTTCAATGTAGTAAGTTAAGTGGAACGGATCTAAACCTCTAGCACTGAATGAAAAGATAAACTACATTAGATGGGTGATTAAAGGATAAATATGCATACAACTAAGATATCCTAAGTCTTTCTGATTAAGTTACCCAAAAACCAATTCAGATTTTGCGTTTAAGTGAGTGTCAATGGACCATAGAATTTCCTTTTACTAAAAAAGTAATCTTAAACACAAATGACAACAAACATGCAAACATCCTGAGTAATCAGGTTATTAGTCATAAACATTGTTTACGAATATTCCAAAACAGCAAACACATATACACGCAAACATCCCCCGTTTGGTTACATATATTAAGAAATATACAAATTATCTTACTCTCTCAATTTCTCCTTATTCACAGGTACATAATTAGTTAGAGGAAGGAATTGGAGCATATGAATACGTTTGACAATTTGTATTTGTTCTTCTTCTGTTAAGTCGGATGCAAGAATCGGTAAGCCTGGACTAATATGATACGTGGGCATCGGATGCTAGGAATAGATAAATGCATGAAAAGAAAATATTTAGAAAATCAAGAAAACAAAATACACTTGAAAATCTTCACGCCAAACAGTTGCAGACTGGTACAGAGGCTTTTTCTGAATTACTTGAATTTTAAATGGATTTAAACATAGGAATATTCAGTGAATATAGCTCTTATATAACGGCTGGTGAGTATTATGATCATCAATCACTAAACGGTTGCTTTATTGAACAGGAAAGCACATCATCATCATGGTGAGAATGTGAGATAATCAAGTGTTGAAATTTTACCTACAAATTGGTATCAAAAAACCAATTACGTAGCAATGAGTGCACATAAAGTGGCAAACCCATTCATGAATAGTTCGTCAGGAAATATTTTTATAAGCATACTTGTGTAACATAAAAACAATACAAACAACAAATTCCCACATAACGCTAAATACACCGTAGAATGACTACTATCCAGAAGGCAGTACAAATGAACAATTATTCACATTTCAATTCCTTCTACTGAATCTGCACAAAGATTTAATTCGTCTCCAATCTTTTGAAAAGAATGTACACGTTGACAGCGAATGGAAAGGAATTTATGAACCCAACCAAAATAATTAAAACAAAGTTTTCCGATAAACTTCCGCGAAACAGAAAATAGAATTAAAAGTGTAAAATAACAAGCTAAAACACCATTCCATAGATATGATAGTTTTGATATCAAAAATATTCAAAAAATGCAACAAATGCCCTTTAGTAGAGATACATCACTTTGCAGTCTCATTCATGCAAAAAACAATTTAAAACGATTTACAATCCTAAGTATGTCTACGCCGTTGATAATATAATTCCCGTGTTCTTCCCTTACTGATTTCTTTATCATGTGAAAATGTGGTTTATAATCAACAGCAGTTGAAGTGTACTTTTACTTCCTATGCCCGTAATGCTTATTTGTTTTATTCCCCCCATAAGAGGACAAAGATATTAGCTAAACACTTCTACTTGAGGAATTTAGGTACTTAACTTTTAGGAAGTCTAAAGTGTTTGCCTACCTGGATACAAAACCTAGTGAATACAATTCTACAAGAAATAACTAAAATTTAACTGATTAGAGATATTTGAAGTACAGTCAATAAGAATTTTGCGTGACAACGAATACACTTAAATCTATACTAATACAAGATGAATCAAAATGAATAAGATTACTTATCGACGACACTAACAATAAAAAAGCATCAAGGCGATCGCAAGCCGAAAAATATCAGTCACATAAATCAAACTATCTAGTGTTAAGCTTAAAGACATCATACCGCTATGCGAAGATAACTTTTTTATATAAATAAACGGTTGGTGAGCTTTACGATGAAGTGATAACTTTTCTCAGTACTCTATATAAGACTTAATACTTTCATAAACAGTAGCGTAAATAAAATGATACTTTACAAGCCATGACAAAGAATAAATCAGCAAATTGATAGATGATATTGCACTTATTAATTCTACACTAGGATGGTATACTCCAAAAATACGTCTGCTAACTGTAATTAGCGAACCCAATCGCCTGCTACAACTTCAATAATTACGTAACGCCAGTAAATATGACTCAAACTCTATTGCACAAACCTTCAATAAAGGAAATTCCTGGAAGTAAAGGCATTTATATTAGAAGCCCACAGCCCTTTTAATCTTTCTTAAAAGTTCTTCCTTTCTGATAAGATGAAACAATGAAGTACTATACCCTCTGAATTTCCCTAAAACTTTAGGTCAAGCTTGTAGTAGTGGACTCCGATTGAACACTGAAACAATAGTATACAAAAAATGCAACTTAGCTGCTTGGTCAAGAAAGAATTTAATTTAGTAACTCAACTTGATTAAATAGCTCACGGTATCCTGATTACGAACCTAAATGAAACTGATGCCAGAATTTTAGCATGGATATGAGTCACAGATGTCTGTCTTCAATAAAAACAAAATCAACAGACCATGAGCGACTAAAAACCCGCAACACAACTAAGTATATTAATGATACAAACAGAGGAGAAAAAAGGAGTGGACAAGAAAATACTTTTACTATGTGTGCTTGATGTGTTCTTTCCTTTTACTTAGTATAGTAGCATAAAATACTAAGATTACCTGCCAAATATTCAGAACTAACGGTTGAAAACTCAGGGCGAAATGGCCCGAAATCTGTCAACGTGACATGGAAGCATAGGCAACTCATAACTGCTAAGTAATCAGTTAGCACACTGGAAAACCTAAGTTTGGGCAGAAAATAGTTGCAAGATATAACCGATGAAGTTGTCTTAAAAAGATTACAGGTTCATAAATGTGCCTTCGTTCAACTTTTTACATAGCATGGAGTAATTATAAATAGTGTTGACAATGGACAGAGGGTGTTAGGATGGATAAGTCAATCTATGAAAATGTTAATCTTGACCGATTGAGGTTGCTGAGGTAAAAGTAATGCAAATTAAGCCAACATCCTCTTTAGTAGATGGTATTACCAGAAGTTTGAATTCGTTTAAAAACTGTTAGGGGTGATCATAACACGACAGAGTAAGGAGCTATGCAGTCACTGACATTACGCAAAATATGGTGCTACCTTACATTAGCAAGTTATCTCTCGCCTTTGTTTGTTTGGGGCAATTGAATCAAAATGGGCTTGATCTCCTTACTTTTGAATCAAAGCTATTCCTTTATAATTATTTTCAAATATCTAGTCTTTGTGGCAGACTAGCACTTTATAGTGAAATCTCCGAACTACCCACTAATTCCTCCTGATAGTTATCTGACCAAAAATTTACATTCTGGTTTATGAACTAACTACAACAATCGCCAGAATGCTGCGGCCAAATAGATTACTGAAGTGAACTGTTTCGTATTTTTTGTAAAAGCAAAATTACTTTAGAATAGGGACCAATCAATAAGCCATGTAAAGTAATGTAACCCAAAACGAGAAAAAATAGAGAATAAAACAAATAAGCGCATATCCCCACAATCAACAGTAACGACAGGATTCACTATATCGTATTCCTGACATTTGAAACACAATTACCTACTGAATTACAGGCAGCCGGGTGGCAATACTAGACCTCACGAAGTGTAATTTACTGATTATATATATATATATATAATATATAGCAGTAAGCTACTGAGTAACATTTCGTGTTTATTTTTTGATGTTTGAAATAAACAGGTTATTGTTCCACTACAGAAAATTATACAACGACAGACAAACTCTTAACTTGTATAATACAAGTCGATTGAAGTTGTACGTTGAATAATTCCGCGTCGTTATTTGGACCAAATTAATCGAAAGGTGATAGGTAGACTTAGTAAGGGCATCAATTATCTAGCCGGTAGCGAATTTGCTTATCAGTTGGTAATGTTTGGCAACACTTACTCACAGTTAACTGTTATTCAATTAGATGACCCCATCACACATCTTATGACACAAATGCCTGTTGGAAACAATCGAAACCAACAAAACCAAATCCGAGGTGAATTCATGGATGCTAAATGGACCTAGAATTCAGAATCAGTTCCGGTTTGATGCGAAAAATAAATGGTGACCAACATTATTAAGTGAGATATTTTTTAAGTGTCTCATATATAATTATTTGTACACAGACGTTCTTTAAATTCCTTCCAGATCTATGACGTTAAGGAGTGGTGAAATTTACAAAAATCCGTAGTAAAATAAATTACAGGCACATTCATGGGCTTCGCTATGCCTCCAAATATCAAAATAGCAGATACTAGTAAGCTTACTTCTGGTCTGGGGATTTCATCCTGTTCGTCGTGAGTTTCGTAGACTTCTTGATCCAGAAGATACGAGGTTTCACTCCGGAATCCAAAACAATTACCCATTTCTGTCTTATTAGCACATACTGATAGGAATTGCAGGTTAAACCCCTGATACAAACTCTAGAGATCCGAATTCAGAGCGGTGACCTCATAAATACTTTTCACTGTTCAATACAAGTATGCAGACCACTCACTATATTGATACTCATATTTTACTGATTCTAAGAGTGATATTCATCTCTAATAGAAACCGAAATAAGAGCAGGTTTAGTCTTAATTCCGATAAATTTATAAATATTTAGACTTCGTAACCAGTGGTAGTACTCAACTACTCGTGGTTACATTCAAAGAAAGATGGTACACGTGTGGAAAACTGATTACTTTTTCTTGAAATTCACAGTCCTCTTCTGAGCACTGCTTGTTCTAACATGGAGAAAGATATAAAATAAATCCGTAATAAAGTTATTGCATAAAATGCTGAATATTCATGTGGAATTTTGTGAATAGTTTCGATTCTCTCTTGCTTGTCCTGAAATCCGTTTATCTTCGTTGAAATCATATCAGAGTTCTAAATAACCCTGCGACGTCTTTGAATCAGTTAATTCTTGCTCTCTGAACCAATTTCAATGTGTTCACCGTAACTCTTAATCGCTCCGTGAATCCTGTTTCATGAATCCACTAATAAGCGTCAGAAACGATGTTGAAAATACACCGTCATCAATAACCTTGCAGAGGAATCAGAACAATCTGTCACCTTTGCTTTAAAGTGTGCGACAGCCATAGGGCCTTAACTCATGATCAACACAACTGCAGGTTTCGGAGACCTGACACGTTCCATATAGTATACCCACTGACCTTGACGATCAGTCAGCATTGTCGCTGCCGCGAAATGACATATCTGAAAATCCTCCTGAACAGTCTATTTAGGACATACATGTTTATTCGAATCTTCCAACTTATTCTATGGTTACTGTTTTTCAACCCCAAACTCTATACTACTATACTATAACCTGCATATCTTCCTCTTCCCCAGTTTTTTCTGTTGTTTCACTTTTCGTGAGTGTTAACACTAATGTCGTTCCACTTTTGAGATTTTTTTGGGTGAGTCCAGAGCTCATCCGTACTTGGGCTGTCTGCCTTTGATCTGTCTGCGAAACAGATAGTTTATTATATTTGATTTCAGTTGACATAATGTCAATTCCACTTCATTAGATTTGCGAGTATGCTACATTTGCGTCAAACTATTTGACTTTGCTGTGCAGTACTTGTTTCGTATCTTCACACCAATCAAACTTTATTGTTGCCTGATGGTATTGTTGTAGTAATTTTGTAAATTTGTTTTTAATAGTGCCGTGGATTCCTTCATTTTAAATCGTGTTTCAACGTTGTTGGAACATAAATTTTGACTGTATGCTATTCACAGAAGTTTGATAAACTACGGAGAAGTACGAATTATTGATTCCCTGGATTCATAAATAAGTGTTTGAGTTTTCGGTCATTCCAGTCACAAGCTAACTTTATTTGGTTTGCAGGAGCCACATATTGAACCGTCCCACTTTTTTTCTTAGTCGTCGCCTGTTTCTACGACTGAGACAGTTTTCGATCATTTTGTCTGCCCTGAAAATATATAAAATTTTCCTAGGATGTAGAGATCTACATATCACGGGAAAACTTCCTGAAGTTAGGACGTAAAATGGGCAAGAAGCATAACATTAACTGCTTTATGCGAAATAATGAACAATGTCCCAGAATACTGCCGAATTCTAGCCAGCAGCCTTGTCCTTCATGCAGAACATCCAGTGAAGAAGAAATTAGATATAACCAAGCCTTGGAGATTTGCATTCAACGCCCTTACGGCACACGACAGGTTACTTCTCACGTGAATCAGTATATGCGACGAAAGTACCCCGTGAATGTCTGTTAGCCAACTTATATGGACTGCTTGAAGGGTCGTTAAACTATTCACTCATTAGCCTTAATCGTATGTTATTGTTGTACAACTATTCTGATGGAACCGCGCTTTAGTCACACAGACTGTCGGCAACTTATCTCACCCCTAACTGTTGGCCCAAATAACTCTGTAGTCACCCAGCTGATTAGGAGAAAAAATAATACGCATCTCAAGAGATCAGTTAACATACAGAAGAACTGAGTGCTTATAAGAATATTTCAGGTAGACAAAATCCGGTCGTCGCGCTGTGGTCTCCTCATTAGTCCGTGATGAGTTCATTTTAACCTCTATAAAAAGGTATAGATAAGTCGTCGATAAGAATATCGGGAAAATTTGCTGTGGCCAGAAGACAACCATCCAGAGCTCGGAGTGCTATTGCATGCGTATAATAACCAACTAGATTTCAACTCAAGCGTTATCAAAAGACAGAAGACAAGTTGCAGATTTGTTGATCCACCAAGTATAAACCAATGTAGTGTGTCAGCTGCACAGCAGCTTGACCGTTTGATTTACTGTAAGTTACTATCAACACACCAAAAGCATTTCTGATCGCATTGCTCCCGTGTTCTGTCAGCGAGCAAATGTCTAAGCAACGACGGGGATTGTTGTCGCCTAAAAACAGGAAACTGGTTCAAACAAACAAGTTCACTGAAAGTCAATTCACTGTTTGGCATCACCGACAGAAGTTGATAGCCTCACTTTAGATGTCTGAACCTTGCATTATTATATCCTTTAATTCTAGGAGGAACATAGGGCTTCAGTTGCGCGTTTCCATTGCCTTCAGTTTTCTGTCAACTTTTTCACCCCCCTCCAAGTCTGTCCTCATGCTTTCATCTTCTCTTCACACGACCTCCTCCAAGTCACCCTCGCACTGACGACCAACTCGGCGCTTCCCATTCGGGTTCCACTCGAGAGCTTGTCTGGTGATGTCACTTGCTGTTTTCCTCAGGGTATGGCCAATCCATCTCCATTTCTTCCTGCTAATTTGTTGCACAATCGGTTCCTGGTTGGTTTGCTCCCAGATATCCCTGTTGCTGATCTTTTCTGGCCGGCCATCTGGTGTAGAGTGGTGTTGAGCGAAGACAGCTATTGAGGAAGGTCTGTAGTCTGTTCGAAGCGCCCTTCATGACGTGCAGGGCAAGCATCTGATCCGTATAGTAGCACTGACTCCGCATTGGAGTTGAAAATCCGGATCAAATTTTTCATGCATAGTGCTGTTGACCTCCGCACAGACTCGAGAGTAATGAAAGCTTGTATTGATTTCCCGATCCTCGCTTCGATATGTTCTCCAGTTCCGCCTGTGGCTGAAACGATGTTTCTCAGGTTGGTGAAGGAGGTTGTTTCTTTTAGAATTTTGTTGGTGCTGTTGCCTTATGTGCTGACTAGGAAACTTCATCTCCTCTGTTTTATCTATGTTCACCTGAAGACCTGTTGTGAAAGACCACATCTCACCACGCTGGACCTCACGCTGTCCCCGGAAGACTTTCAGAAACAATGTGTAATAACCAACGCGAAAATCCAGTACACAGATTGGCAACTCGAGAATCCTTTATTCTTACACCAATATGTAAACAACAATAAGGTTATTATACACAAGGTCTAAGAATAAATGTTATAACAATAAATCACGATAATACTTCTGATAGTTTTCTCTCTTCCACCGAGCAGCGAATGATGACACGATGACTGCTGGATTGATGACTAGCGAAAAACATAGAGTTTTGTTTGAGCAAACAAACATGAATTGCTCGTTCAATCTCCATCTACATTAACATCTGTAATGAAGCGGAACGCGCAGCACTGGTGTCGACTTTAATTTCTGTGTTCCACGAAGGCTGCAATATGCAGATAACTTTCAGCTGCATAGTCAATTGGTCTCAGTCGACAGAATAACCACAGTACTACTTCGAATTCTCTTTTCACTCTGTTGGTTGAAGGGCAAAGGATCCCGCTCTCCCCTTTATTATACCTACGGTGATGCAAATCATAAGTGCGAAATCGGGGCAGCGAGGAGAATGATATATAACCGCACTTTATCATGACTTCCAACATCGGAATAAAGGCAAAATTTTGAGCAGTGCTAAGAGATATACTCGACTGCTGGGTTAGTGACTTATGTCAATGGGAGATTTCCATCACCATATTAGCGGTACACAGACAAGCAGCTGCAGGAAAGTGTTTTCGTGAAACTCATACATAATGGCTAGCCGTTCGTTCAGTAGTCTAACTGATTTCGCTGCGTAAGCTGATCAGTAGAATTGATGATCCCAATTTCGAGTAATATAACCTGCATAACTACTGGTTGTTAGATTTTTGCGTTACTTGTAACAGTGTACAGCGATGGTTGCAATTTTCTAAGTAGAAACATTTAATAACTGGTATAAGGAAGTTGGATTCCGTATGAAAGAATATAGTGACGCAGATATAATCATTTCGGTTAATAACGTTTAAAATGCAGCAGAAGGCTATGAATCTACCATAAAAATCGACAGTTAAGAAGTTAGGGTGGCATAGTTTCAATACCAAATCCGCTGCTTGACCCAAAAGTGTCTTGTATGATAAATGAAGTAACTAATGCATTGGTATAGGCCTCACAAAATGGAAAGGCACTCGAAACTCAAATCAGAAATATTGTGTGACCAGTAAGAATTGTATTCCCAGGCTATTATGAAGGAGCACGGATGTCATACCTGATGCTTAGCGAAATACCGCGCATAGCAAAGCCTCTACACCAAAGGCCAATGCCGAATGTTGCGTTTACATGGTTTTATTTGCTGATTATAGGTCAAGGCTCTGGTCAACCGCAGTCGCGTGAATGTAATGCACGTTTCGATTTTAGCAAGACATACTTTTCTATACACCCATATAGATGAAACCTACTGTGCAACTGAAATAAGCTTATTTTGATGGGATTCAAATCGTTATATATGATGTACCAAAAAATTCTTTCAGTCGGTAATAGCAACAAAAATATATATTTTATTTTTAATTTATTTTTGATTTACAGCTTGATTCCACACTGTATTTTTGGTACAAGTATGCAATTTTCGGGCGTTGATAAGGCATATCCCCCATTTGAAGTGGCGCCTTTGGGTTAACCCTGACGGCATTT